TAGGGTGTCTCAAACTGATCCGAGACACCCTAGGGTGTCTCGGCCTCTCCTCTTATGTTTGAGACGTATTTTTGCATCTTTGATTGTTTCCGCCGTATTTTCTTCGTCTGAACTCGGATTTGAGCGATTCTAAGTGCATTGGAAAGCTGACGAGGAGTTCTACAAGTTTCAATAATTAAATCATCCATGGGATAAATGAGACACGAAGGGTATTTCACCATTTGTGAACGATACGAGGTTCCCGATCGGTTCATATTTTCACCATTCCGAAGTTCCGTTGTTTCACGTAGTTCGTCGGTTTACTTCAAGCGTTCGCCGATATCAATCAAGCTTCTGTGAACCAGATGGTGATGTTCATCGTCATTTCTTAACACTGAGCTGTTCGTAGAGACCTATAGGCAATTTTTAATGCCTACAAACCACTTGGATACATCAGATTGGATGCTTGATTCCGGAGCTACTTATCATGTGACCCCAATGCGAGATTGGTTTGCATCGTTCGAGAGACTCGATGGGGGTGTTGTTGTCATGGGAAATGATCAATCCTGTGGTATTTGTGGGATAGGTACCATGTGGATTAGGATGCACGATGGAATAGTCCGTGAGTTGAAGGAGGTGAGATTTGTTCCTCAACTGAAGAAAAATCTTATATCAGTTGGAGCTTTGGAGGCGAAGGGATTCAATGTGACTTTCGAAAACGCTGTAGCGAAGGTTACTAAGGGATCATTGGTGGTGATGAAGGGAGTCCGCAATCGGAATTTGTATTATCTGAAGGGAAGCACCGAGATTGGCGAGGTTGCTTCGGCTATTTCAGAAACAGACATGAGCAGACTTTGGCACTATAGATTGGGGCACATAGGTAAATAGTCACTGCAGGCATTGTGCAAGCAGTGGCTATTGAAGGGAGCCAAGAGTGGAAAGATTGAGTTCTGTGAGCACTGTGTTCTTGGCAAGAAAATGAAGGTGAAGTTCGGGACTGCCATTCATCAGACGAGGGGCATCCTGGACTACGTGCACACAGATATTTGGGGTCCCATCAAGACTGCATAACTTGGTGGTAGACATTGGTTCGTCACTTTTGTAGATGACTATTCTAGGCGTTGTTGGGTGTACACCATGACGAAGAAGAGTGAAGTCTTAGATTTATTTGTGTAGTGGAAAAAGAGATTAGAACTGCAGACTGGGAGAAAGATCAAGACATTACGATCCGACAATGATGGTGAATATACTTCAGACCCCTTTCAGCAGCTATGTTGAGACGAGGGCATAGAGAGATACTTCACGGTTATTCATACACCGCAGCAGAATTGGGTGGCAGAGAGACTAAATCGGTCTTTACTGGAGAAGATTCGATGCTTATTGTCGCAGAGTGGTTTGAAGAAGATCTTTTGGGCTGAGGCACTTACATATGCGAGCCACCTCATTAATAGGCTGCCTTCATCTGCGATTGAGGAGAAGACCCCTATGGAGATATGGTCGGGAAAGCCAGCACACGATTATGACCAGCTCAAGATATTTGGGTGCCCTGCATATTATCATGTTAGAACTGATAAATTGAAACCTCGAGCTAGGAAGGCCATATTTATAGGATTCAAGCGTGGTATCAAGGGATACAAGCTATGGGATATAGTTGATAGAAGGATTATGCTGAGTAGGGACGTCACGTTCGATAAGGCTTCTATCTTGAAGCTTCCCAGCTCTCATCAGGTGGAGAGCGACCCGACGCAAGAGATATCGCAGGTGGTGGAGATCGATGCAGCTTCACATTGTCCAGATGGTATAGTATCCATTAGAGTACCGACTGAGGTGACGCCGGGCGAGCACGACGATGACACGTGAGATACGAGTACTGATGTGTAGGATCAGGGACCAACGGTTCAGGTTCAGGATTCTATTGCGGTTCGGAGATAGAGGAGAAACATACAAATGCCAGCATGGTATGCCGACACAGTTACGTATGCACTTCCGGTGGAGAGTATCGATGAGTTGGTGCCTACTACATTCAGAGAGGCCGAGCAGAGTTCAGAGGCTGATTCGTGACAGGTGGCTATGCAGGAGGAGATAGAATCTCTTCATAAGAACGATACATGGGAGCTTGTTGAGCTTCCAAAGGGGAGGAAGGTAATTAGTTACAAGTGGGTATACACGAAGAAGGAGGGCATTGATGGCACTCTATTAAGGTTCAAAGCTAGGTTAGTTACGAAGGGCTATGCACAGGAGGAAGGTATTGACTATAATGAGGTTTTCTCTCCGGTGGTGAAGCACTCTTCGATTCGGATTTTGTTAGCTTTGGTGGCACAGTATGGTTTGGAGTTAGATCAGTTGGATGTGAAGATGACATTTCTTCATGGTGATCTTGATGAAGAAATATATATGACTCAGCCATTGGGATTCCGAGCTACAGGAAAAGATAAGTTGGTTTGCAGGTTGAAGAAATCGCTATACGGTTTGAAGCAGTCTCCTCGACAGTGGTATAGGCGATTTGATGGTTTTATGATTGGTCATTCGTACACTCGGAGCCAGTTTGATCATTGCGTATATTTTCGCAAGTTAAAAGGAGGTGCGTACATTTATTTGTTGCTCTATGTCGATGACATGTTGGTTGCCTCTATTTCCAGGTCGGCTATAGATGAGTTGAAAGTTTATCTTTCAAATGAGTTTGAGATGAAGGACTTGGGTGAGGCCAAACACATTTTGGTAATGGAGATCGGCAGAGACAAGAAGAAGGGCAGAATTTGTTTGACACAGGTGGATTATTTGAAGAAGGTTCTACAACGATTCCATATTAGCATGGATACGAAGCCAGTTAGTGTACCTTTGGGAGCCTATTTAAAGCTTTTAGCTGGTCTTTCACCGAAGTCAGTTGAAGATCGTGAGTTGATGTCGAAGACTCCATATGCGAACGTGGTTGGGAGCTTGATGTATGCGATGGTATGTACGAGATCGGATTTATCACAGGCGGTGAGCATGGTTTCGAGATACATGCACGATCTAGGAGTGGGTCATTGGGACGCCGTGAGATGGATTTTGAGGTACATTCGAGGTACGCTCAATGTTGGTTTAGTTTATGAGCGGGACACTACAGGTGGGTAGGTATACATTGGTTATGTTGATTCGGATTATGCCGGGGATTTGGATAAGCGTCGGTCTACTACGGGGTATGTGTTTACTTTGACCCGTGCGCCGGTGTATTGGAGATGCACCTTACAGTCGACGGTGGCTTTGTCTACGACGGAGGCAGAGTATATGGCAGTTATGGAGGCTGTGAATGAGGCTATTTGGCTTCGAGAACTTTTGGAGGAACTTAGTATATCGCAGAGATCTGTCACTATTCATTATGATAGCATGAGTGCTATCTATTTGGCGAAGAATCAGGTTTTTCATGCGAGAACGAAGCACATTGACATTCGTTATCACTTTGTTCGGGATGTTCTTGAAGATTGCGATGTGGAAATTGTGAAAGTCCACACGAAGGATAATCCGTCGGATATGCTCACTAAGGTGGTTCCAAGCAACAAGTTTGATCATTGTCGAAACTTGTTGCACATTCGTGATTGTTGAGGCTGTTGGCGGCCATTTGGATGAACTACGGACGGCTTGATTCCTTGAGCAAGAGGATACGTAGGCAGTCTTTATGATGCAGCCGGTTTGGATTAGTTGTTTATTTGATGGGGGTGAGATTGTTTGGACTCTCGTTCGGGTTCTTGACTTGTTGTGGATTGAGTTCGTACTGGACACAACAAGTGGGATATTTGGATGCTTTGGTGTCGGCTCAGTTTTGAAAGAAACTTCACCGAGGTGGAGAATTGTGAACGCATTTATAGTGGGGGCCACCCACGTGCAAGGCTTCAAGGCCCACCCGATTTCATTATTCGTGCATATAAATGCACCTAGGTTTTTGTGAAAAAGTAGGCAAAGGAACTTGTGGGGTTGTGCGGCTGCAGAAAAGAAAAGTACAAAGTTGGGGGGGGGTTTGCTGCAGTTGATTTTATTTTGAGCAGAGAAAGAAAGAGGGGCTTCGTGCGTGCAAGGATTAGGCGCAAGTACGAAGGAGTTCAACTTTGGTTTTGCGGCTGTAGGAGAAAGGTGGCAGCGGCTTTGTTGAGAAGATATTGAGCAGTCCCTTTTAGGGTTTTGTGCATCCCTTTGAGAGAGTTTTGTGAGAGGTTTGAGAGTTTGTGTGAGGGTTTAGATTGAGTGATTGTAAACTCTAGTTGTATTCTCTCACTCTAATAGTAGATCTCTCCCCTCCTTGCCCCGTGGACGTAGACAATTTGCCGAATCACGTAAAATTGGTTGTATCGTTTTTGTGTGATTTGTAATAGTTTTTTAGGATCCCTTGACAGGTCAGTCCTAAAACTGATGAGAGGAAGAGCTGATATCTCACTTTGTTGAGATATTCGCTTCAGATTCTTGTTTCCTTGGTGAGACGGGAATTCTTATTGCGATTTGACTCTCTTGTTGTGCTGCCGAAGTGCTGCCGAAATTTTCGCTGCACGCAACAAACACCTTGTACCTCAACTAGCTTGATTTTCTAAATTTGCCTCTTATAATTTTTACATAAAACCGCTAACCCTCAAACTACACTTGAATAGTTTTTTCTTCTTAAATAAGTCTCAGCGTCGTAGATTGCATGCATTGAGGATCATATTCACAAAGTTAGCAACGCATACAAACACTACATTTTCTCCTAAACTTAATTTACACAAAACAAGATCCAGCAAATGAATCGTTTAAAGGAAGAAATGCGCAACTTACGAACAATACTATCGAAGTACATCCCGCGAGATGCCAAGCAGATTTTATGTCGAATCATCATGCTATCACAAGCTACTAATAAAATATCCATCTTGAATGTGACTATAAACCACTTTGGATTAAACTAGAAATTTATTTTCGACACTCTATTGACTTCCATCATTCAACAAAGACATCACACCTATCTTGCCTCGATAAATAGCCATGCACAGTCCACACAGGAATACAACCATTTGTGCATGTTTTCAAAATATGGCTCCTAAAATCATCTCTCCTCTCCTCCTAAGCTTCTTCTTTCTGCTCCTCGAATTTACTTGCCATGCATCTGATATCCCCAAACTTACTACTGGCGATAATGGAACCGATCATACCCCCATATTTCCCGACCACGAGACTGATTTCCCCAAATGTGCACCCCTAACGCCTCCGCTTATTAGCATTCCTGTGTTTCCTCAAGATATCCCCCCGCTCCAATTTGCGCAGAACATCGAGCATATTGAATGTGAGTGGTTCTTATTTGGTGCTTTTGGATTCGGGCTTGATGCTGTTGAGCCAGAGCTCGCTTTGGGAGGTCCTCCTCCGGTTGGAGTCAGGAAAGCTAATCTTGATGAGGTCATACGGAAGGTTATTGCCGAGTTTGGTTATCAAGAAGTTGGTCACTTGAGGTCTCTGGAAAAACCTTCTTCCGCTCATAACCCAAAAATATGCATGCTTCCTAAAGATTTTTTTTTAAAAAAAAAATATTCAAAGAACATAAAATCATGTAAACAAATTGAAAAAATTTCACTCAAGTAAATTAGCTATAGTACACTTTCACGATAATATTCTTTAAATAAATGGAACTATATAATAATACTATATAATCGTTAAGCAATAAAACATTTTTAAACTTGTTCACCCATGTATCACGTATCTGCTCTGCACCAATGTTTTCAAGCCGTCATTTTTTACATTATACGCGTGGCCATTTCATATTAACTCACACATACAAATTAACACGGTGTTCAAATTTTTCTTGTGATTTACTGACAAAATTATTTTGTGTTCAGGGCTTTGAAACAAACTGTTGGCGGCATCACAAGGCCCCTGATAGATCTCAGCCCTAAGAACTTTGCAAGGCTAGTGGACGAAGCATTTGGATACAATCTTGACCCTCCGTTCGACCCGTACGCTAACACCCTCAACTACCTAATTGGATCATACTGCATACCCTATCTGGGCCTCCTCGGCTACGTAGGGACGAACCAGAACCTCAACGGCCTTGTTACAAAAAGGGTAAAGCTCCAAGTCCTTTTTTTTTTTTAATGTATAAGGTAGATAATTGTAACTTTTTCCATAAATACGTTTCTTGGCTATTTTCAATATGTTGGTTGCCTGCCCTTGTAACCTGGGCTATGGGCCATGGCTTTTGTTTTTAATATAAAAGTAAAAGAAGAAAAATAGGACATGCATGCATATAGAAGGAGTAACAAAGTTACAAAGTAAACAACCATTCTATTGATGGCAGTTTAATAACTTCAATAACTTTCCCATGTTAAGTTGATTCTCAAAATTTTGACAACCAATTGCACTTTTTTCTAATATAAAGTGGGTCCTCGCCACTGGAATGCTTCACCAACTTTTCCAAGTTCCTCTTTCTTAATGTCCACCGTTCTGTCCATAATTTGCCAAATCTGTATTATTTATCAATTCGGTACGATTCCTATGCAATTCTATCATATTCAAAATGTAGCATATAACTTAAACTAAGAAACCATGAAAGTATAATTTTGGGAGCAATAAAGAGAAGTTGGAACACTCTTAATATAACCACAACACAACGATCAAGCTCAATCCAATAGAAATATGACCAAGGGAACCTGAATTATAACTCATAAACATCTAGCTTCTGAAGTAAAATCAAAATTAAGACAAACTAAGGGCTTGTTTGGCGACTCCTCAAAATGGGACTAGGTTTGGTCTTAGTCTCATTCGGGGGAGAGAAGTGTTTGGCAAAAGTTTAACCAAGATTGGGCCAACTATTCCTAGCTAGGCCAAAAAATAGCCGCTAAACTAGTTCTTTTGTAAACCAGCTTCTGGTAAACCAATCGCCCTGGTTTAGAAAAGAACTAGTTTAGAACAAAACTGGGCCAAAGCTAGCAAAACTACAACAAGCTAAGGATGAAATAAGCTTTACTCCGATAACCGAATAGGTTTTGACATACCTGATACTGATACGCATCCTTAATTCTTATCATCTTGCACAATTCAGCACAATATAATATGTTTTCCTGGCCATAGACAACGAGACCAAATAAACATTGTACGCAGCACAGAGAAGGTAGTTATGTACCTCAAAAGACACTCGCCATCTCAATTTCTTCTTCTTGCAGCTGTTGGCAGGGCTATTAACGGTAGAATCTGAGCAAGATGGGATCATAAGAGGCTATCTCTTTCTAAACCTAACAATGCCAGTTCCCCCGTACAACATCACAGTAGCAGAATTCACAGATAGGATATCATACATGAGAAACAAACTAGCGATGTGTGGTATCAAAGACGAAGGCCTTTTCGTTCCTCGTACGTTAGGAGCAGAGCAAAAGTTAAACACGAACGTCGTCTCTGCGGACAAAAATTCCCTTGGTTATGCGCGAACACCTCAGGAGTTGCTTCGAATACTTTACGAAACTGGTAATGAGCACATACCTGGTGGATTCCTCCCACAAGGGGGGAATGGTGAAATTGCTAGAAGACTCCTCGGGGATATTTAGACCATTACTACTACACGAAATAAGTAAATAAATTGCCGAAAATGGGCTACTATCTATGTAACAATACAAATATGTATGTGCTAAGAAGTTTTTACTTCATTTCGCCCTGTAGTCTCTGTTTCCAGTGAACCTAGATGAGATAAGGAAAATGCTAGAGACAACCTCTTAAATCACACTCCTCTCTCGTTACAATGCACTTTAAAATTCTCATGTGGGCCCCAGTGCACTGTAGCGAGAGAGGAGTGTGGTTGGGGGGTGTGGTTTAGGGTGTGACTGTAGCGACTCTCATGAGATAATGTCATTTCAATCTTGGATACAAATAAACAATTGGCTGGAAGATAATATATACACAATAAATTTTTTCTTTAGCATAACATGGCACAAAGGCAAATCTATATACTACATCAAGGGGCAATTTGGTTGGGTAAGAAACTAAGAAAATGAAATTAAAACACCCGACACACCCACGTGAAGGTGTTTGATTTTTTTTTTTCTTCTTGTGTTTGGTTGAGAGAGAGGAAATAAAGAGATTTTGTGTATGTGGGACCCACCCACTAGTAAGACAGTAACGTCATGAGTCTCAAATTTAAGGAAACTCATTTTCTCCCAAAAAGTCATAAATGGGCTTGAAAACATGAAAATAGACCCCCACAACCTATTTTCCATGAGTAATCTTTCAAACTTGGGTTTCTAGGAAATAAACCAAACAGCCCCTAAATCTCTTATCATTAAAATCGCCACTTGGCACTTTCCCACTATTTAAGTACTTTGTTGGGTGACTCTTGCAGGCCTGCTCCATTATGTGAGCTTAAATTCTTAACTTTTTGTATGATTATCTAGCAATTGATTATTTTTTAAATTTCTTCTAAGCTATTGAATTTCTGTGTGTGGTTCTCAAAGTAGGAGACTGGAGACTTGAGACTTGAGAAGGCAAGATAGGAATAAAGTAGGTTGTATTTATTAATAGAAAAATAAAGCTCTAGATAAGTTTTTTTTAAACGATAGTTTTTTGTAGTTTAATTTTATACAAAACTTGGATGCATGGAAATTTTTTTTTTCAAACTCTTGTGATTTAACCATTACAAGATATGTTTTCGTTGATGAAGTTGGAGTTTATTTGTCAACTAGAACAATATATGAAAATTAGTCATTTTTTATCCTAAAATTCATTTTTGCTTGTTCAAACTATTTCCTATTTTTAGGCTAGCTTTTTGAGATCTGAATTTTTTATCGGAAACACTTGTGGTTCCCTTTTATTTTTAGGCTACCTTTTTGAGATCTGAATTTTTTATCGGAAATACTTATGGTTCCTTCTGTTTATATCACATGTCTAAAAGCAAAAAATTGTGAAATAGGCTTTTAACTTTACAAGAGTTATTTGTAGATAATTTTATGTAAATCTGCTCAAAATTTCAATAATATTTTGACACAAACCCGTACATCTCACAAGCCTAAAACTAGTAATAAGAATTTCTAGAAGAGCTGTGGCTTTCATATATATATACCACAAGGTTTGCAAAAGAATTGCTTTCAATTGATGTAACAAGAAAAACTACAAACTCCACTTGGCCACCAATATAGCAAGATACACAAGCAACAGCATACAAAACAAGCCCCAGCGCAGACGAAAATGAATTCCACAACCCAAACAGCAAGGAATAAATACCTCAACGAAACCAAGTAAATCCCTTTAAAAATTCAAAAAAACGCACATCACAGAATCAACAGCGATCACTGTGGCTTGAACCCTGAATAATTTAACGCTAAGAAGGCGCTCTTACGAAAACTTCAGCAAATTAACAAGTTTTACCACATGTACCTAGAAAAGAAATAAACACAAGGTATCCAACGATCAAAACACAGGCCAAATAATTCAAACGCCTTCTCTCCAAATTCGAGTACTATGAAAACCCTAACAAAAAAATATATTGGAACACAAAATCTTCAATCAACCGCTGGTTTTAGCAGCCGCAGCTTCAGCAGCGGCACGCTTCCTAGCTTCCTCGATAATGCTGAGCTTGATACCCTTGCCCTTAGGCAGAGTAACCCAAGGCTTGGTCCCCTTGCCGATAGTGAACACATTGCCAAGACGAGTAGCAAACTCATGGCCAGTGGCATCTTGGACATGGATAGTCTCAAATGTACCCTTATGCTTCTCCCTGTTCTTGATGACTCCAACACGCCCAGTGTTTCTCCCGCCAGTCACCATGACGACATTACCGACATCAAACTTGATGAAGTCGACGATCTTGTTCGTCTCTAAGTCGAGCTTTATTGTGTCGTTTGCTCTGATGAGTGGGTCAGGGTAGCGAATAGTTCGACCATCATATGTGTTGAGATAAGGAATGCCTTTCTGCCCGAATTGAACAGATCGCACCTTGCAAAGCTTGAACTGCAGATGAGGAACAATAATGAGAAAAGTAATACATAGCTTATTTAGCATAATGATGATAGCAGAGGATATTCTCATTTCAGTACAGGCAGCTATAGCCAGCTAATTAGGTGAAAAATAAATCGCTTATTCAAATTGAATGAATTATACTAAACAGATAGCAGTAAGATAAAAAGTAAAAATGTCATCCTAAAGATGACTTTAGTCAACAATTGTAAGAGGCTCATATAAAATTAAAATATGACTAATTTTCAGTTTTTTGCCGTACATGAAATTCTATAGTTCAACACATGATATACTCATTTCAGTACAGGCAGCTATAGCCAGCTAATTAGGTGACAAATAAATCACTTATTCAAATTGAATGAATTATACTAAACAGATAGCAGTAAGATAAAAAGTAAAAATGTCATCCTAAAGATGACTTTAGTCAACAATTGTATGTTGTTAAAAAATGCACGTCTTTAAGAGGCTCATATAAAATTAAAATATGACTAGTTTTCAGTTTTTTGCCGTACCTGAAATTCTATAGTTCATCGCATGGTATCAAAATCATGTGAAAGGTTCAGCAAATTATAAAGGAAATCACACCAAAAATGTGGTTCAAGGGTACAATGTAAATGCACCATTTACGAATTTCTTAGTAATTTTTTTATTCCTGTTCATGATATCAAAGAAAAATGTTCCCTCTGAAAAGTTGCTTTAGTTACTTTTCCTAAGTAGCTTTTTTCATTTGAAAGACAATCACAGGCCAACAAGATGACAGGACAGAATAGTGTGACTAGCCAATCAGGTTTCCTTGCAACTGTATTCCAACAATCCCACCAATTGGAAAATCCCTACATCCAACCTTTACTATCAGGCTGTACCAACCAATAGCCTAAAAAACCATACATCCATAGCCCGTTATAGCATTTTAATTTCACACCATAAGATCAAAAATGTTTATCCACAATTGCAAACACCTCACGCTCATATAAGTCAAAACAGATTTTCGTTGCTTTCTTGCAGCTATACGATTCAAAACTTTCATGCTTTATATTTAGAAAAGGGGCACTCACTTTACCCAAACCTATATCTAGTGGCATGAAACACCCACTTTTTACCAATAAGATTCTATAAAAATGAATAAGAGGCGGTTTGGGAAGGCTTGTTTTTTAAGCTTATAAGTTATGTTGGCTTTTAGTTGCTTTTAGCTTTTATGATGAAAATACTATAAAAATTGGTTGAGTAGAATTGAAATCAAGGTTTTAAATATCGGATGTCGGGTTCATGTTGCTCGGCCAAAATTCATGTCGGATAGCGGAAATCGGGGATATATCGGGGGACATGAAAAAAATATCGGATTGCCATATCGGATAGGTTGATATAATATTATAAATGGAATATTCACATACTTGATAATTATATTGTCTAAACATATGAAAAAGTACATATGAGAAGGTCTTCATTTTCACAAGCAACCACCAAGTTTTTGCTTTTGCATAGAAAACCAAATAGACACGAACAGCTTAACTGCATATGTTTAGACAATTCTTATTAAAGTATAATAATTATCCAGAATATAAAAATTACTAATACAATTCTTTATACACAACTTTATTTATTAATGTAAAGATTTATTAATTGTTCAATTTAAGAATTTATGTTATTATAAAAGTCACTTCATAATTTTACACTCAAAGAAAAAGATTACAAAAAAAATGTTCACATACAAAGCGCGTGCATTATACTAGTAGGAACAAAAAGAAAATTCTACTGAAATTGAAAATTAAACTCGTAATTGCTATTCTAAACTACTTAACTGCATCGACTAACAATTGCAGGATTTTTATTATATATGTCATTTCTCCAAACAAGAAACTAGTAAAACCGAAGTATATGTGCACCTAATACAAATAAATTCATGTGTTCTTATAGCCTTCCATTATAATGAAAACACATGCAATAACAAGTAATTAAAACCTACAACAAGCACCCATATGGGTAGTGGATGGGAAACAATGTGAAACTTTACATAAATAGAAGGTGAAAGATATTGCAAATCATATGATTTCAACATGTCAATGTGAAACAGATATTTCTGAATTTTGGCTGATATTTGATGGCCGAAATGTCGCCCGATATATCCGCTATTTTCCGACATGTCCCCGACATGACCTCAAAAACGCCATACGTATTAAATTCAACAATTTCGTGGCGGCTAGGCTCCGAATCCGCAATATCGGCCGCCATGTCGGACATGACGGCCGATATTTAAAACACTGATTGAAATTTGTTTTGTCAAACCTAAATTATATAAGTGAGCTTATAAGCTAGTTTTTTAAAAGCTCGGGTACACCAGATTTTGAAAATGGCACTTATAAGCTAACTTATTTATTACTTTACCAAACAGCATAGAGAAGAAAAAGCTAGCTTGAAAGCTAATTTGACCAAAAAATAAGCATCCCCAAACACCCTCTAAAACAATGTTCTCTAAACTGATACTGAAGTTTTCTGTCTGTGTTTTCCACTACTTCATGATACAAAGCAAACAAAGAATATTAATAGAATAAAGAAGTACGCAGCTTGACCTTTGCCTCCTCATCCTTGATGGAGTGAAGCCGGAAGCGGCCCTTTGTGTCATATAACAGCCTAAAGTTTTCATTGGTTTTAGGAATCGACACAACATCTGTAGAAACATATATAAGAAACTCAGATTGTTAGACGAGTTACCTATATAATTTAGTGACAAGAATCCAAATAAAATGATTACGAGTAGATACTCCTTTCAAAACTCTCAAAGAATTCCATAAAATTGCCGCATATGAAAAAGCTAACCAGTTAAACGTACCCATGAAACCAGCCGGATATTTCTGGTCTGTCCTGACCTTTCCATCAACCATAACATGCCTTTGCATCAGAATGGCAATGACTTCACGGTAGGTGAGAGCATACTTCAATTTGTTCCTTAGAATGAGGATCAGTGGCAAACACTCCCTGGCCTTGTGCGGACCAGATGATGGTTTGGGGGCCTATATTTAGAGATAATTATTGATTAATCAATGAAAGAGGTTTTATTCAAAATAAGGAATGAAATAGTTGAAATATTAGAATGAGTATTCAGGAGTAAAATCACTGATATTGCACTTACAAAAGCACCACCAAGTTTGTTGAGCATCCAGTGTTTTGGGGCATTTAGCCGTTTGAGATGCTTCTTAAGTCCTCTAGCCTGAAAAAAAAAGGCTCAAAAACATTAAAAAAAAAGCAAAGTAACATCATCATATTCAGAAATGATTTCATATTTGTCAGAGTTCAAAGCTAACTTTCCCGTCAGAAATGTTGTTTTGGATATGCTAGTCTCTGAGAGAGTGTGTGCATGTGTATACGAATTTAGAAACCCACCATACATAATCGAAATAAGTGCACCAATATAGATTTTCAAAAGGAAAAATGACTGAATATAAATGCATTTAAGTAATGTGTGTTAAAAGGGCAATCTAACAATTATAATGATACAATGAATGTAGATTAAAGTTTTTATTGCTAAATTTAAGAAGTAATATTAAGAGACCAAATAATCAAGGCGTAGAGCCTAAGCTGGAAGAAAAGGAAGAGAAACAGATAGAACAGCCAATTCTAAACACATCAGCTCTAAAAAAACTAATTAGCAAAAGACCTTGAAAGATGAAAAGTAAGATACTGGTGGAGACTGCTAAAGAACATCAAGGGTTTCTATCTCGAAAGCATGCAGTTCAACAAGCTAATATGATTTTTATACCATTTTCCGAATGATATAAAATTGTCTGGTCTCAACAAAGGCAGTCCGACAAACAGACAAAAGTGGCTTGATTGATTTTGCATCAAGAATTGTTCCAAATAGTTCAAATAACAGACTCAGATTTAAGCCACAACTTGGAAAACATTGTGTGAACCACATGTTATCATACTGCACTACGAATTATGAATAAAACAATGATCAGTGAAAGAACGAGACAGTCCCTGCTTCATTTACAGTTTATATTCTGCAGATTACAAAGATATATAACTTAAAATAACAATTGTTTGATAAACGAGATGAATAGATTAATTCACATGTTAAACTGCAAACACAAGAAATTTCCAGTTCCAATGCATAAATTGGGCTCCATGCTTCACAAGTTAATTGCTTGATGACTAAAAATCGAAGCACATGTCCATATTAACCAATCTCAAATTAACGAAGCAATCAAACTAAGTTATAGACTCTCCCCCTCTCATTACCGGTCAAAATGCAGATCAATGTTTGATCTTGATGAGATAAAACCCTTAAACAATGACATTGGCGATTAGGGTTACAAATAAAACAATAATTTATGAAAAATGGGGGGGAAATCTCAGAGAATTGCCAGAAATTAAGGGAAGTAATAGAATCAACAGAGTGAAGGTGAGATTAAGAGAGGAAACGAACCATTTTGTTGATCTAGATCCACGCCGTCTCCTACTTCGTCGTCTCGCTTTGCCTCTCTCTCTCTCTCTCTCTCTCTCTCTAGCGAAAGGACGCAAACGGCAGAGGAGGAAACCCTAGCTCGCGTTGGCGCTTATAAAGGGTAGGGTTTTAGGGTTTCAGTGGTTAATCAGATGGGCCGAGGCCCATTCAAGTCCTAAACTAAAGAACTTCAAAAAAAATGAGGGGTCCTTGCATTTATACACCCCTCCTATCTTCCGTATTTGCAAATTTACCTCCAAATCCTGGTATTTGCAAAATTACCCACCAATTCTTTAGCATTGGCTTGTTTTTCCCCACCTCTCAAACTTAACGATATTGGCTTTTAAATAGGGAATTGTCAAGTTTTCCAATCATTGTCAATAGATTTGTTATATTTTATGTTTAAAAACTAAATTTGTCAAGTGGGAGGCATAGGAAACTTTAATGTGAGATAACTGGGGTTAATTTTACATATATCAAGATTTAAAGGGTAAATTTATAAATATGCCGAAACCCAAAAACATGGTTTTTGTATAGGAATCCACCATAAAATATAGTGGTTTTTTCAAAGAAAACTACCACAAAATTTTTAATTTTCATAAAACCACCATGATAATATGCACTATTAACAAAGAATTACCAAAGTTATAATAACTTCCATCCATTTTATGTTAAACAAGGGTATAAATGACATAAATGCCTATTGTGACTAACTTTTGGAGGCTGAGTAGGCATTATTAATTTGGAGGGAATTAAAAAAATTGTAAGGGAGTTAACTAACTTTTGGAGGAAGTAAAATATTTTGTTTAACGAGAAAAATACAATAAAAGATAGGTTATTCTCACCACAAAGGTGTTTTAAGGATTCAACATATTAATTAACAGAAAAAATAAATAGAAATTGAGACTTGGTAGCACTTTGTTAATGGTACATAGTATCATGATGGTTTTACGAAATCTTAAAAAAAATTATGGTGGTTCACCTAAAAATTACTATATTTTGTGGTTCATCCAAAAAGTAAACTATCTTGTTGCACAAGAAATGCATGGAAATTCGACAAAGATGACTAAATGATAATAGGTTTTTTGGACAAATTTTCAAAACACACCCTTTTTGAAACTTATTTTTAAAAAACGACTTGTTTTAACACTAATTACCAAAATCAACCCAGTTTTAGCCTCACGGTTGAAATTGGGTCGGTTTTGATAATTAAAGTTAATACAGGTCGTTTTGGGGAATATTTTTGTAAAATGGTTGTTTTTAAAAATTTGTCCTTTTTTTGGATTAATCAGATAATTAATTAATTAATTTAGTGGGACTAGTTTTAGTATCTTTTTGAGTTGTATATATAGTCGTCATATAAAACTAGTTTTAGTATGTTTTACATAACTAGAAGAAGAATTTAGGAGCATACAGCATACTCTAGGGTTGGGAGTGCGCTCCTTTAATTGTATCTGTACCCTTTTTGAAGGCATGACAGCGACTGGAGCCTCTTCATAGTTATTCTGTTCTTTCTCTCAAAGGGCCTGTTTGGTTATTTCCTAAAAAAACTAAGAAATAGAAATGAAAACAAAAAACCTCAAAAAGTACAATTTCATCCATTTTCATACCTAAAACTCACTCATAACATCTAATAAAATATTATTTTTATCTAACAACTCATTCATCATATCTAATAAAATATTATTTTTATCCAACAACTCATCCACCACATCAACGACATCTAATAAAATATTATTTTTATCTAACAACTCATCCACCATATCTAATAAAATATTATTTTTATCCACAACATCACTCAACTCATCTCATCATTTCAAATCACTCACATCATCCAATAAGATGGTGATAACTCATCTCATCTCATTAATATTCTATTTCCACACATTTCCTCTCAAAAAGCTAGGAAATAATTTCCTTAAGTGTGGGTCATATCATCTAATAATATAATGACAACTCATCTCATCTCAACTATTTTCTTATTTTTAAGAATGAACCAAACAAAAGAAAACAACATATTATAAGAAATAATTTTCTTATAATTCATTTCCTTATTTTTTTCGCCAACCAAACAACATCAAAACAAGTTTTCTTAAAAAATCACTCACATCATCCTATAATAAGGGGCTGTTTGGTTGCACACTTTTTGAGAAAATTTTTCTCAAAATATCTGATAATGATAAATTTATAATTAAAAGTTTTCCAGAGATTTCTGTAAATTGTATTTGGTTCAACAAAAAATTTACAGAAATATTTTCTAAAAAATATCAAAACCTACCAAATTTTACAAAAAGCAATTTCCTCTCAAAATGAGAGGAAATCACCAGAAATCTGACACATACCATATTTAATTAAAAACCTACCAAATATTGTTATTTTCTATAAAGTAATCACCAGAAATCTGACACATACCATATTTAATTAAAAACCTACCAAATATTGTTATTTTCTATAAAGTGATGAGCTATTTTCTTGTTTTGAACCAAACAAGCAAAGTAAAAAAAACAAGAAAATTGATATTTTTTGATTTCTCAAAACTTTTCCTATAATTTTTTTAAGAAATACAAGAAAATCATATTTTAGGTGGAAAACATTTCCTATAATTTCTAGAAATTGAACCAAACACCCCCTAAGATGAGAACTCATTTCATCTCATCTCCATTTTTTTAATTTCCTTCTTTTTTTAGCAAACCAAACACTCCCAAAATATTTCTTCTTAGAAATAGTTTTCCATTTCTTTGATTTCCCCCTTTTTTAGTCAAACAATCAGACCCTAAAAAAATTATTTAATAAGACTGATGTAGAGACGAGAAGGTAAATAAAAAAACCCAAATCGACACATTTAGTAGTACAAAAGGGATATGTTATTTTCGTCACAAAGTAATAATGACAGTAGTGGTAGCAGTGTGTGTATATATATTCATATTTATTTGTATTTATATTTATATTTATAAACTAATAGGTTGTCTGTTTTATATTTTTCATGCTCTTTGTCCAAACAATGCACGTCAAAAAAGAGCACTTGAAAAAGTATAAATTATGATTAAAAATTAAACATTAATCCCTACATATTTAAGTAATTAAAATGATCATGCGCTATGTTTTCAGTAGCACTATAGTAGTTTAACAAATAAGATTAATGAGTATCCTTGTCATAGGAGAGGATTTCCTTCTTGATGTCTATGTGATGCACTCCTCACCATCCTCATAAAGTAGGAGAAAGTGTGTGAGTTGGTGGTGATTTGTGTCTACTTTATGAGGATTGTGGAGATTGTGACACATAGGCGACAATGAGAGAAATCTCCTCCTATGATAAGAATACTCATTAATCTCTTAACAAATAGCATTTATATAGATTGTACATTTAATTACCAAGTTAATTTCATCGCAGCAAAGTTTGCTAAAGTTAAATCATACGATGCAAAGAATGAGTTGTTTCGGATATAGTTTTGGGTAGGTGATCAATCAAGATTCAACTTGTATTAGCTTTAGGGCTGTCTGGTTACTTTTCAGCGAATAAAGGAAACTAATTTCAAATCTAGAACACATTGTTGGTTGTTTTTTTAAAGGCAGGTAGGGTAACCTAACCAGTCAAGTCCTCAACAACACTCTGTCTCAAAAATAAATGGACAGAAACAGACAAAAAAATAAAAGAACAAACAATCAACCGACTTAGTTAGGGAATGAGCAATACCATTACCAGTGCACCTTACATAAGAAACTTTAGAGCAGCTAGTAATAGTCAGACCAGCGCGGAGTTCATCTGCAATAGGAACCAATGAAGCAAAAGGAGAAGGAGAGTCCACCAAGGAGACAACCTTTAGAGAGTCAATTTCCACCAATGAAATCCTCCAGTTCATACGTCGAACAAAGCGAATGCCTTCCAGGACAGCTAACAGCTCCGCATGATCCACAAACATAGGACCCTTAATCCCCATAGAGTAACAACAAATCACATGTCCATGGTGATCCCAAATAACACCTTCCAAACTAATAATATCTTCTTCCAGAGGAACGACAGCATCTGTGTTGAGCTTCAGCAAACTAGGAGTAGGGGGATACCAAGCAGAAGGTCATTTGAAAGATGTGACAATATCACGGGAGAGACCTCTAACTCTATCCCCTTCCTCCACAAAACAGAGAATCCGAGTCACCAAGACCGAGACCTCTCTAACACCACCACCATGAGAATGCATATTCCTTCCCCCCCATATAAACCACATGGTTGTGAAAGCTAAAGCCAAAGAGTCCCCAGGGCAAACAGAGGTGAGATGGAAAATGAAATCATCACAAGACGTGCCTCGAAAACCATTAATCACTTCCTAAAGATCTAAAGACTCCCACACTAAACGAGCAAATGAGCAGACGGTGAAGATATGAAGGACGGTCTCAAAGGCAGCAGAGCAAATGCGTCAACTAGGGGGCATAGAGATCCCCCTATGAGATAAACCAGCTAAGGTGGGGAGAGTATCATAGAACATAGGCCAAAGGAATACTCTAATCTTCGGTGGGATCTCCGCATGCCAGATCAAGGACAACCACTTCATTACCCTAGAATCCAAGGTGGAAACAGTATGAGGCATAGTGTGGCGAAGAAGTCGGTATCCACTATTGATTGTGTAGCACCCCTTCTCCTTATAATGCAAAATGAGTCTGTCAGGGACAGGAGAAGGCGGCAGTGGGATAAATAAAATGTCCTCCTGATCTACCTGCCAAAAGGAGCTAGCAATCAGCTTATGATTCCAAGTACCCGAAGCAGAGATCAGCTCAGCCACCCTTCTGGAATGGTCGATCGGAGAAGTAATTAGCCTAAAAGAAAAGGGCATTAGGATCCATGGGTCAGCACTGATAGAGACACTCTGGCCATCACCTATCCTCCATCTCAGACCTCGAGCCAGGAGCTCTCTCCCCCATATAATGTTCCGCCATAAATAAGAGCATCCAGGGCAGACACCAGCTGAAAGGAAGTCTGAGTCCTTGAAACACTTTCCCTTCAAAACCCTACTAGCTAGAGAAGAAGGGTCCTGAATGATTCTCCATGCCTGCTTAGCTGCCAATGCCTGATTAAACATCTGTAGATCTCTAAAGTCTAGACCACCCTCTGAC